TATATATCGCGGAGACAACTGTAAAAGGAGTAAAAAATTAACGAAGTTATTTAAATAAAGAATGTTTTTTACTTTTTTGTACAGCAAAATTAAAATCGCAAATTGTGAGCAGTTTTTACTAAGATTCCTGTGTAATATGTATGTAGCTTAACAGTAAGAAATGAACTTTTTATAATTTTGTGTAGTATGTAATTTCAAAAAGAGTTTTATAATTAAAAATTTTATAATTATAATTGGTATAAAAATGTCATTTACGTATCATAACTTCACAGTTCTGAAAAACTATTTCTCTTATTAATTTTGTTAATCGTAATAATAGAAAAGTCTCCGTGATAATTTGCTCCTTGTCAGTTGTTTATCCGTTGATATTGATATCGCCGAGACATCATTCGTGAATTTGTGCGTTACTTTATCGACAAATTAGTAGTATCTTAAGATAAACAAAATTCATTCTTTTTTTACATATTTAATTTAATATTATAATATTCGCGAGAACACACGCAATATAACGGCGTTATTATCGCCAGAGAAAGTTTTTCACATCTAGTTATATATCATGTTCAAAAATTCCAAGTATATTATATTTTTTATTTCAAATCAACCAGGACACGCGTGAAATAATAATTATTATTGTAATATATAAGTAAGATTACATGTACTAAATGACAAACCTGTACAAATAAAAATTTTATTCGGATTTGTTTTAAGCACTAATATATTTGTGAAATAAATTCGAATAAATCATATTTTTAAAATAATAACAATAAAAGTATATAAAATAACGAGCAAATAAGAGCAAAAATAGACGCAATTATCCGTGCATATACATAAAAATGTATTTAGATACAAAAATTATTACTTAAATCATACGTTTCGGCTCCATACAAGCCATCATCAGCGATATCACGAGTGCAAGATATAATAATCTAGTAACGTTTTGATATATAAAATTTTTTTAGTATATGTATTTACTTATTATCATGATAATAATCTATTATGATATCGACTAGCTATGTTAAATAATAAATAAATTCGGATTCTCGTAATAATAGAGAAACACAACCAAATTGTGTTCACAAAATTTTTTATACGTATTTTCTACACAAATATTGGTAAAATATACGTATTTTACATAATGATAAATATTTGATTAAATTAAAGCGCGTGTTCTCGCGTGTTATTTAATTAATGATAATCTAAGGACAGAATGTAAACAAGTAATGATCTACTGAAAATACATACGGTGTGATTTGTATATGTCTGCAAAAGTTTCGGGATTGGTTTTTTTTTACTTTTATACTATAAAATTTAATAATTGAAATATAAAAATAATGAATTATATATATATATATATGTGTGTAAAAAAATATATATATATATACATATAAAGAGTTGAGAATTATATAAATCGAGTGTTTCATATAAAATTGAATTTTTATTCACGTTTAAATTATCTTGCTACAAATCGCTTCAAAATTATTTTAAACGTTGATAAATTTTTTTATGTTTTAAATTTATAATAAATTTATTAGAATAAATTTATTTCTTAAAATTCTACAATCCTTGAATATTAAAATTTTAAAAACGTTAAAATTGAATTATACTTGTGTGTAAATTAAATTTTAATATGTAAATTTGTTTTGAGTGAAATATTGAGTTAGATTATAACTAAATTTTCGAACCTAAAATATATATATATATATATATATATATATGTAACATTTTGAAATTTAAGGAAAATAGTAAAATATGGATAAAAATGCAGGAATTTTATTTGTACGATTTTGTGTAACAGATTAATTTTTTTACATATATTGTAAGAAAAAGCATTGGCATTATATTTTCCATTTAAGATAACTATATCTTTCAACTCGAGATACTTCCATAAGTTTCAAAGATCCGGAAGCTTTTGTGAGAGATTTAAGGAAAGGTTGAGTATAAAATTTCGCATAAATATTAAAAATGACGATTGTGAGACTGACCAATGTATTTAGCGGGTAAAATCTTTTTACAATGATATTTATGTATTTTGTATAAATACATAAATATCTTTAAATGTGCGTGTGTGTATAGAGATGAGATTATACGATTAATTTTTTATTTGTGCAAATATTAATCGCGACTCAACATAAGTGATGACTGCTATAAAATTAATATATTATTATTAATATATTACATTGATCAAGAAATTCATTCGTCTTTCCTATTTAATTTTTTCAAGTAAAGTCAATAATGAAATAATAATAACATATTAATGAGAGATAAAAATATTAATAAAACAAAATACGAATGGATTTTTTGATCAGGAAATTTATATTATATATATTATATATTATATGATTATCTCGCGTTATATATGGTTATTATTATTATATATATATACAGCGCATTTGTATATATATGTATAAAATAATTCCAATCATTGTGTATAATTAGGGATATTATACATACTGTGTACATTTTTATAAGGGATAATTATTATATTGCGCTCGATAATCTCGTCGGTTCTCGGTAGGCCGGAAGCATCCTTACGAATTTTGGCCGGAATGTTGTGCAACGGACGGGACGATCGGTCCTTTTTATAAAATAAAAGAAATACGCTACCTTGTATCCATGTACAACTTTGTAATAAATCAGTTTATTTGTAAGCGAGCAGCTCCGTTCTCTTTCAAGTGCATTGTATCTTTCGAATTTATTTTTGTGTAGAAAAAAAGAATCTGGTAATTTTAGATTATACCATATATTATATATTACTTAATATTTGCAAGATATTTACACATATATTTAAATATTTTTTACATATATTTTAATTAATATGCAATTATAGAGCATGCAGTAATAACTTAGGACGCTTTTAGCGAATGTCAATTTATTTATTTGAATTATTTTTCTCTACGTGTTAAATTTTCTAAACATTTCGGTCAAGTTTTGACCATCATCGGTAGTTAAATTATTATTAAGTCACCTTTGGAATTACATTATATTTTTTAAATTTATGTAATGCGGGGCATTTGGAATACTCCTATTTAAAACACATTTGCAATAGAAGTGTATTTTGTATATTGCATTTCCACAGAACATATGAAAGTATTACGTATTTTATATTTAAAATCAGATTGCAAGTTTTCTTGTATTTTGTAATTGAAATAATAAGATTGACAGTTTCGTATTTGAAATTCAAAATAATTAATATTTCGTTATTAATACTAAGATATAAAATACGATATATTTCTATATGTTCCCATGAAATACAAAATTGTCTTACAAATACTGATTTTAAATAAAAGTATTTCAAATACATGTGTGCCAGCTCTGATGTAATGTTATTATATGTTAGTTTTTTTAATATGTTAATTTTTTGTAACTATATATACAATGGTGGCAAAAATAATAGGTACACTGCAGATAAATCGTAATTTTATCTGCAGAAGACAGAAAAAAAATATTCAGATCAAGTATTATGTGTAGAGGTAATACTTTGAGGCTTTACATTTATTAAAAAATTAATAATTTTTCGCCTAAGTCGTACAATTATGAAATATTTAGTCTTAGAAAATTTTTGATAAAAAGTTATTGGCAAAAATAATAGATACAATTGCAAATCTTGTCTTTCTGACTAATATTTAGTCGCGTAGCCCTCATTTTGCAAAACTGCTTGACATCGGCGGCTCATTGAATCTACTGAGCGCTCGCATATTGATTTTAATGTGTTGTACCGAGCTTTCTGAATTTCTTGCCATAATTGAGTTTTATTTTAAATTTTCTCCTTTGGGATTGCCTTTTTTATTTCATACCACAAGTTTTCCATGGGATTTAAATCAGGAGATTGTGTTAGCCATTTTATCACAGAGACTTGATTATCTTCAAACCACGTTTTTACAAGTTTCGACGAATGTTTTGGATCATTTTCTTGCTGAAAAGTCCGTATCAGTGGCTTATTCTATTTAGCATAGGATAACACATGATGTTATTTAAAATGTCACAATAAATCTCTTTTGTCATCGCTTCCTTGATCCAGAGGGCCGACATCATTGTAGGAGAAGCATCTCCAATCCATGATATTTCCTCCGCTAAACTTTATATTGTCTTTTTGGTGAATTTAGGATTGAACGCAACATTTGGAGACCTCCTCACAGTTAATGCACCATCAGATCCGAACAAATTAATCTTTGTTTCGTTGCTCCAAAGAATATTTCTTCACTGCTTTTTTCTCTCTTCACTAACAGTTTTTAAATATTTATTCGCAAAAGTTAAACGATCTCTAATATTCTTCTTACTCAAGTGGCACTTTTTTTGAGGTTCTAGCACACAATTTAGCATCTTGCAGTCTTTGACGAATTGTTCTTGCTGATATCGGTGCATTAGTTTGCTCCTTCAGTGTAAAAGAACTCGCAAAGGGATCGGCTTTGCATTTTCGAAGTATAGTAGCCGGTTAAATATTTCAGTTGTTTTTCGAGATTTCCCTCGCAACTCTACAGACTGCTGTGCTTTTAAGGCATTAACAACCATATTTTTAGACCATCCTATCAATTTAGATATTTTCCCGAGAGATTTTTCATTTTTATAAAGATTTTTTATCAATATTTTCTTCTCGTCTGTACAATGTTTCGATCTACTTATTTTTCATCAACTGTAAATAAGATTTATCACAAAATAATGTTGGTAAATATACTAATTGTAAATTAAACATAGATTTATAATCTCTGACAATAATAAAAGTGTCCAACAAAATTTAATAATATGGAAAACAGCTTGTACCTATTATTTCTGCCATCACTGTACATATAAAATTGAAAAATATAGAATTTTGTAAATTTTAAACTTGTCAGGCAAAGTGTCGAGATAGGCTACATTTGATGAAGGAGCTCTGGATTTTTTGACACGAATCTGATGATTATCTCGTCGATAACATATCGACCGATATTCTATTATTAATTGGATTTCAACTTACTACTCGCCAGACCAGATGTCGATGTTATCGGCCGGCTTTCATTCCATTTCATTCTTTGTTTGTGCGTAACATTTTCGTAATCACAAAAACTGATTAGAGTTTGTGTCTAATTATTTCGAGATTGAGAATCATCGAAAGCTCATTAGATATGATTAATCGTATCCGACCCCGTCTCGTAACTTTCGACGTGACTGGTACATTGCTGATGACCAAGTTCGAAGAAAACTACATCAAGGTCGGCTCGCAGCACGGTTTATTTATCGAGCCAAGAAAATTGGCGCGAAGTTTCAAAAACAATTACGCTCAGCTTAGTAAAGAGCACCCGATATACGGCAAGCACACAGGGTTAGGATGGAAGAACTGGTGGAAAATGATCGTATATAATGTGTTTAAAGAACAGCATGCTTCCGTGTCGACAGACACGTTGGATAAGGTAATATTAATGATAAAAATCTGTAGTAACATTCCTTTATTTCAGGTAGCTCCAGATAAATAGCTGTTCTTTAGATTTATTAATTTTTTTAGAACTCACCTTTTTATTTTACTAATATTACAGCAAATTTCTTTTTAATTAGTATTTCGATATCTAATGAACGAATTTTTACGAAAATTACTGACAAATTTCGTTTTATGCAATATTAGCCCAAACAAAACAAAATCATAACATCAAAATGATGTCAAAATGAGTGATTGATCGAAAAGTGATTTTTAATAATCATAGTTATTTTGACAGCATTTTAATGTTATAATGACTTGTAATATATTCAATCATTACAAATCATTTAACGATAGTGCTACAACTTCAGTATTGAAAATAATTTTTCTTGTTAGCTTTTTTCTTTCTATTTTATTTATTTTCTATTAATTGGTTCTGTTATTTTGTTATTGAATTATTACGTAAAGACCATTGATTTTATTTATCGTTCTCTTTTTTAGGTTGCTGAAAGTCTCATAAACTGCTATAGTACTAGTAAATGCTGGTATAAATATCCTGGTACTATTGATCTACTTGACTCCTTGCAGAAGAAGAATATCGTTTTGGGAGTAATCTCGAATTTTGATCAACGATTGGAATCAATTCTTGAAGACATTCAAATTCGTCAGTACTTTGCCTTTGTTTTGACCTCATACGATTTTGGAAAGGAGAAACCAAGCTTGTCAATATTCGAGGAAGCACTGAGATTAATGCAATATCATCATAAGGAGAAAATATTACCCAAAGAAGCAATGCACATCGGCGACAGAATAGACAATGATTATTTTGGAGCAAAAAGTGCCGGATGGAATGCTTTATTAATAAAACATGACAATAAGCTCGATGAAAACGAAGTGCCAAGGGAAGACATTTTTAAAAATTTGAAAGAGCTTCAAAGACACTTTGATAGCGTACTTAGAACAAATTGTATAATGCAGTAATAATTAATTATTTAATAATTATTTTAGGTTTATTTATACAGGGTGGCGTAAAGTGTTACAAACTAATAACTCTGAAAATATTTATCCTATCAAAAAGTTGTTCATGAGAAAGTTTTATATATTTTAGGGGCCTTTCTAACTATGTAAACAAAAATCCACCTTTATCCTCCCTTGAAGAGGGGCGGGGGATAACTTAAAAGTTTCAAATGGTACTCCCTATAAAATGTTACATATTTGGATTCTACGGGGGAAAAACAAATAAATTTTGTCTGAAACATTTCTTTGGAAAATACTCTTATCAAAAGTTACGAACATTTAAACCTTAATGTAGAGTGCATTGAAATTAATGATAATTAAATAAAACTTGTAGTTCTTCTGTTTTTTTTTATTTTATTAAATGTTCGAACTGTTGACTATTAACATCTAAACACTTATTAATTCTTTTTATAAAACTTTGCCTAACTCTAAACAACATTTTTGGAGTCACCTTAGTGCAAGCAGTATGTATTGTTCGTTTTAAGTCTTCTTTCGTCGTAAATGGTTGAGATGTGACATCTTCTTTAATATAGCTGCATAAAAAAATAGTCCAAAGATGTAATATCAGGTGAATGAGGGGGCCATTGAACAGGACCTTCTCGACCTATCCACCTGTCACGAAATATCTCATTTAAAAGAGTACTACATTCAAAAATAACTAAATACATCTGTATTTATATTTCCCGATAAATGTGTGTATTTATGTTTTTTTTGGTTAACATCAAGGTCGTTTTCATTATATCGTGAATACAACTTTATGTATCAATGGAGTTAAAGCGTGAATAAAATAGCTAAAAGTTTAAATGTTCCTAACTTTTGGTAGAAGCATTTTTCAAAGAAATGTTTCAGACAAAATTTATTTTTTCCCGTAGAATCCAAATATGTAACATTTTAGGGGGTCTTATTTGAAACTTTGATGTTATTATACTCCCCGTCCTCTTTAAGAGGGGACGCCGGGGATAGATTTTTGTTTACTTAGTTAGAAAGGCCCCTCAAAACCAAGCAATTTTTGTTTGATACTTTTCTTTCTATTGTTAAAAACAAGCGAGTTATTCAGATGACCTGTTTTAAATACCTCATCCTGTATACATATATAAACTTATTTGTATCTAACAATAATCTCTATGTAAAATAACTATGTTAACGATAATAACAAAATAGTCTGATAAAAAAGTAAGTTAAATATGCAAATTTATTAAGTTATACATATTGAATGTTTTTTTATATTTTTCAAATTTATGTATTTATATGCTTGTACAATTTCAATTTTTTTTATTACGTTGTATGTATATCTCTAGATATTCAGTACATCCCTTAGTATACACGATTAAGTCATTTGTGCACATTTTTTTTTTAACTAGGGATATCAAGTAATCAATTATAACATTTACATAAATTTTTTGAATGTATCAATTTTGTAAATATTTTATATATATATATATATAAAGATATTAAAATTATACATAAGAATCACATTTAATAATTTTTATATAAGTATATCTATAGTTGGATGAAAATGAACTGCGACACTAATAAGAATATATATTTAATAAACATTAAGAACAAAAATTGAACACAATTGTATATTTATAAAATGTACAAACTAAAATGGATATTAAAAGAGAATATTTACGCTATAATAAAATTTCAGAAATTATACACATTACTTTGTACAGAAATCGAAATTCTAATTAAAGTTCATAAAAAAATCAATGAAGTAGACAATAATAAAAAATCTGTCAATTACAATTAAAAAGCTTGTTATATATAAATATTAAGACTGTATGATCACACATTATATACCGATACGGAGACGGAAACTGTTGGAAACACGGTCACAATTCATAGATATTTAAATGCAGTGCGTATAATCGGAGTGTATATACAATCGGTGCAGATTCGCGTGTCTGCCTGCTAGAGGCATTTAAGACTGTGTATGTATATATACATACACGATCCGACGTTTGCGTAGGCGGACTGTGAGAACGAGGAACGAGCGTAGGAGACGGAATTGAGAAGGGGCGATGCGAGGAGGGCTCAAGAGGGCCGGGAGGTAGACGTGTGCAAGCGGCGTCGGCCGTCGCGCCGTTACACTCGTTGGTGGTCCACGGCAGAGCTCGCTCGCGCGTCTCACGTTGCCCAGCATCCGATCTATGGAAGGTTAATGGGAGATGTACGATCGATAACGATCGCTCGATGGCGGTGATCTTCGTCGATGGACGCGTTGCTTAACCTCGAAGACAGCCCTGATACGTCGGTCGGTTTCGTGAACAGTGAGAGGAGTCGGACAGAGTGTTCGGACAGAGAGATATTTTCTTACCTCGTGGGGCTAAAATGAGAGGGATCGGGATATGGGACCTGCTGTTGCTTGTGGGAAGCTGCGTCGTTCTAGCCGATCCCGAGGCCGATCCTTCGGAGGAGCTGTTCAATCGGCTGCAGCTGCCAAAAAATCGTAATGAGGACAAGTGTTATGATGAGAACGGCAGGCCGCAGGTTTGTCTCGATTGTTTGTTATTTATATGTAAACTGAATAAAAAAATGAGAATCTATAGTCTTCATTATCGTGGAAATAATCCTAAAAAAAAGTTATAGGTAATTTATTTATTTAATAAATATTGTGACGCAAATGAAAATAATATATTTGTTAGAAAAATTTCACAATACTGCTTCTATTTTTTTTTTCATAAAAAAATCCAGGAAATGTTTAAAATGTTTTCTATGCAATGTATCAATATATTTTGTTTATAATTTTATTAATTTTTTATGTAATCTTTTGTTTTATATTTTAATACTTTTCAACATAATTTTTTATTATTATGTAATTCTCTCTCTCTCTCTCTCTCTCTCTCTCTCTCTCTCTCTCTCTCTCTCTCTCTCTCGCCAACTTCATGTAATATGTTAATTATTACATTAGTTTTTTAATATGCTTATAAATTATTTTAGAATTAAAGTATTATTTATTAATATTTTTATGTAACATTTTATTTTTTCAAATAAATCCTCGTATAAATATCATTTTTAAATAAATGGCTAACTTTTTGCATCTTTAATTAAATCAGTACAATTTGGTAGCTTCGTATTTCGGGAGGATGTTAAGGTTATCATGGGGTTATTCCAAGTTACTTGAACCCGCAGATAAATTGTGTGGGCCACGATATAAATGGACAAGATATCATTCGCGAAGCCCGCAAGATATAGCTTTTATATTAGAAATAGAATTCTTTCCTATTTAGATCGCGATTATGAATTGAGAAAATTAGACCTCATTAAATGTCTTATGTTAATATCTCTCCATGTAGATATGTTTAGTATTATTATAATTATATATTTAAAAATAATATATTTTTAATATATGTATATATAATAAAATAATATATTTTAATTTAATTACTCTTTAAAAATCATAAATTTGATTTACATATATATTATATCTGCAAAGTAAAGAGGGCTATTTATAATAAATGTAGTATTATTCTATTGAAAATGTTAATATAATAAAAAATTTTGTTATTAAAATATATTTATGACGCAAAATATATTACTATCTGATTTTAATTTTAATTTAATTTTAAACAGTAATAAATTTCTCAAAGATATTGTTATATAAAAAAATGATATATGTTGTAGAGAATTTACTATATTTATAAGAATTTAATAAAGCATATAACTATAGAATAATATTTTTTGAAAACAAATTAATAAATATTACGTTAAAACATTTCTTTATTTTATTTAATTTTAACATAACATTTATTTAACTTATTTTCTTGTAACTATTTAATTACAATAAAATATATCCAAAATATAGCGCCCTGTCTGAATGTTGGCGTGTTTTAGAGATGTATACCGCCGTTTGAAAATGCAGCTTTCAATGTGCTAATAGAGGCGACCAACACATGTGGCGAGGATCGTCCTATCGAATTCTGTAAGCAGACAGGCGTGCAAAAGAAGTCATGCGAAATTTGTCGACGCGGCGACCACTCGGCCTCCTTCCTTACTGACCACGACAATAATGACAATGCTACTTGGTGGCAATCGGACACCATGTACGAAGAGTATCCCAACCAGGTCAATCTCACCCTTCCTCTAGGTGTGTTTTCATTGCAATCATCTGGGATTCCCTGTAGAAGATCTTTGTCTCTTTATTGAGAGAGCCTCTTTATACTTTCTCTCTTTTTTCTGCGTTTCTCTTTTACTCTTTCGCTTATATACATACTCTCTCTTTCTCTCATCCTACTTCCTTATCTGTGAGGATGTATGCGCGATGAGATAAATCATAACAGTGTATAAAGGATGATGAAGAAATCACAGAAAAGCTCTCATGAGCTATAAAAGCAAATTTGTTATTACAAATTTATTCTTGTTCATAATTGATTTAAAATCTATTTTAGAAATTGGAATATTTTAACTTAGAAATTTTTATTAACAATTTAGATATTTTAAACAGTCATATTAAATGGACTATCTTATGTGTGTAAAAGGTATACGATAAATTAAATTAAATTCAATGAACAACCTAGCGATTGAAATATTCTGAATAAAAATGACAGATAATACATTTTATTTAATTTTTAGAGCACAAGGATTGATTTTAAAATCTTTATTTTTAGTAAGATTTGTTACGATTCTTATTTTATTATATTCTTTGCTTTAAATATGATGCAGTGCCACTATAATGTCTTTTCTGTCTTATAAAGATTATTTTTTATTTACTATTTATGTATTTCAAATTACTCTATTTTATTACTCTATATCTATATAATTATCTACATTTTTTATCTTATTTTTATTAAATTTTTTAATACTTTTATTCCATCGTATTTACTGTTTTATTTACTACTCTCCTATACTGGCGAAACTCATTATTTATTTATTGTTATGCAATTTTTACTGTAAAAAAAAACCCTTATCAAGATATATATATATATATATAAAACATCTGATGCTTTATTTTTTGGGGTGCCGCTCTAAAAATACATCATGTGTCTTGTCTGCAAACTTATGTTCAGTAGCACATCAATAAAGCTTATTATTATTATTATTGTTATTATATTATTAATCAAGCAAGAATCAGTGTCGTTTCATAGAATACAATGATTAACAGTCAATTGGAGTCTATGTGCTGGATGTAGTTTGCTAATAATCTTTTAATATTCTATTAGTATAAATCATACAAACTTTGATAGATAATAATATCAAAGTTTGTAT